TCAGCAAAGAAAGTCTTGCAGGGGTCCTCTGCCAGTAAAATCACAATAATGTGACAACACATGTGAAGCATTGTGACAGCAGTTCTCCCAGGCCTTGCTGATGGGGGTTTTTATTAGGGGTCAGTATGCAGGAAGGTATGCAGAGCCTATCTAGGTGACTGACATCAGCCACTCAGACTAGAACCCCACAGGTAGCAAGAGGCATTCACCGTAAGTCATGATAAACCTACCTCGGTGTAAAGGAAGAGCATGACCCAAGGCCTGAGGCATACAAAAGTGCTCCCAGCAGGCGAGTGTGCCAAGCAAGGATCCGAGGTTATTTCCCAGGAGCCCACGGGCCAGGGCCAAAGACAGATGTTTCTTTGATGGGAGATGCAGGTCTGCTTGGCGGACTACTTGCTGAACAATCCTTAAGGCTGTTCTGCCTTAAACCCTATCATCTCCCACTGCCTGAGCTAGGAACCATCCTGCACCATTTCCCTCAACCCCAGTATCCAGCAATCCTACTTGTAATCTGCTCTCCTCTCACTCACATTTAGATTGGTCTCTTCTCCATTTTGCTTTCTTTCCAGAAATTCTCCATACTGCTTCCACGGAGAATTTAGGATTACAGTAAGTGCTGGCAAGATGTATTCACAATTAAGGCATTTGTAGTGAATGCCCCAGTGGAGGATTGCTTTCCGTATTATGGCCAGGAATGGGAAGGATTTTCTTATGACACATTTGTGCTTGAATTATTCAATAGCACCAGCAAGCTTTCAGGATAAACTCAGAATCTTTCATATCCTTTGAGGCAGGTGGCCGCCTGCCTCTCCCACTGGTCTCCTGCGTCCTCAGTGTTTAGTTCCCTTAAAGACCACATGGTTTCACCTCTGACCTGGAATATTCTGTCCCTCTCCTTGGAACGCCCACTCTCCAACATTTAACAATGTCCTCTCTGAGCCCCACTCCTCAGTCTACGATGCTGTTCCTTCTCTGCTCTCAAAGTACTCTAACACCTTCAGCAGACACTTAACCAGATGCCTTAAGTTGCCTGTGTACTTGTTACCAGTAGGGGACTGTTAGTTTCTGAGGACAACATCCATGTCGCCTTCCATGTTAGAGCCCCAGCATCTGGCACAGCAATCCTAAAAAGCATTCAATCAACACTTACTAAGTCAGGAAATTCAATCTGGAGAGCACATAGGTGACTATAGTTCACAAGAATCACGGAGCAGGCTGTGCTAAATGCTGGAGCAAGGCCCTAGGCCCAACTGTCCAGTAAAAAAGAAACAGAGAAAGCTTATGTAAGTTAAATTGGTATAAGTTAATCAGATTAAATAGACCATAATTTTAATACAATTCTTGGTGTTCAAATGTCAGCTCCACCACACACTGGCAGTGTAGCACCAGGCAAGTTTGCAGCAGTTTGCTCATCTGTGAAATGATACAGGGCAATTGTGTAGTCGGCAGAAGGAAAGAATTTGCTTAATAAGACTTGGATGGCACAGTATGGCACAGCTGGGAAGGAATGCATTTTTAGACAGACAGGTCAGATTCTCTTGCTATGGTAGTTTGACTGGATTATAGATATGTTGGTTGAGGAAGTAGGTTGAACAGCAGGCCCAGTGAGGAATCAAAAAGCTGCTCTTTCACATCAGCTCCACTTTAATACAGTATGGTAAGTATGTTCCTAAAAGTCACAACATGCAAAATTCTACAATAAAGCCATGGGCATCTGGGGAAAATGAGGTGGAGGCACAATGCTGAAAATTTCATTAGTGACTCATTAAACAAAACAGAAAAAGGATCCTAATAAAAACTGCAGTATTTTAGACAGGTTAAATGGTGAAAAGCACAATACATACACTTCACTTTGGAAATGATCAAGTGTGTGGACGCAGGTGTGGAGGGGCTGCAGCTTGTGACCCAGTGGAAGAGCAGTGCCTGAAGTCTGAAGGGAAATAGGGGTGTGCAAGTTTGACACATGTGGCGAATTGAGGGGCCAGGCACTTCCAAGATGTGTGTGCTCTGTGTTACTGAGCTTGGTTCAGCTTTTTGCATTTGCCGACTGCTTCTCACAGAAGGGCATGTACACGGGAAAATTCTGCATTCTGCTTCAATTGTTCCCTCTATCACAATTTGTTTTGCACTGCATTTATAAAACAAGGTTTAAAGGAGAACTGTGTATTCAGATAGACCACAGCTTGACTGTACCTCTGGAACTATACCTAAAGCATGCATTAAAAGTAGTTTTCTTGTGGGGAGGGATTTAGGACTCAACAATTAAATCTCAAATCATAGTTCTGCCTACTTGGAGAAGGTCTTGTGCCACATGCAGGGGGATCATTCCTTCATTTATATCCATAGTAAGAACTCCAATCATGAAGTTCCTCCTTTACCACCACATTTTGCTCAACGATTTATAGCTGTTGTAAGCAGACTCGTTAGGCAGAACTTTAGGTCTGTAAAACATGAAGTTACCAGGTCCAACGTGAAGGATTCTTGAGGCGAGAGGAATGTCTTCGCTTAGATTTCTGCACATCACCCCACAGATTAGGTGTACCCACAGTGTTAGGGTACATTGTGCTTTCTGGCCCCTAGTGCCAAGGCAGTGGACCTGGGAGATTTGCCATCTGTTTCTTAAGTTACTCATTTAAATGAGAATCATTTATGATTTGTTTTGTGTATCCAGGTCTTTGCCCTGGATAAAAATGGGCAAGTCGTGCTACAGAAATAAAGGCAAAGATTGTTTTTCATATTCCGGTTAAACATTTTCCACTTAAAAAAAGATCTCAGTAGTTTATTTGAGAATAAAGTGAAGAGTACGTGGCTAGTTGTTGGATTTCTCTTTATTTAGCATTAGCAATAGAATTTGAAAATTTTTCAGAAGTTTGATTTTATTGGGATCAACTAATTCATAGAGATCATCAGTATTATTTTATTCTTTTATTTTTTAAAATGTATTTAGTAGAGGGTTTATAGGGTCTCACTACACAGATCAGACTCACAGTGATCCTCCTGTTTTCAGCCTCCCAAGCGCTGGGATTACAGGTATGTGCCACCACACCCAGTCTCAGTCCCTGTCTCAGCATGCCCTGGGGGCAGGGTGGGGCCAGCACCAGCACAGCAGGCCAGGGATTGAACCTGGTCCCTGCCTTCCTAAGGCAGGTACTTTAGTCCGCTGAGCTATCTGGCCGGCCCGTCAATATTATTTAGTACTTCTTAGTTGAAAAGAAATAAAATTACAGAAATGTGAATCAAATAGTCACTTTTCCAGACAACAGACTAATTCAAACCTGGTATTTCAGAAGAGCACTGTACTTCTAGAGGACTGAGAACTGCCTGGGTTAGACGTGCATGTACACGTTTATGCTGGAAGCCTGCGGCTTGTACCTAGATGCCCCCCAAAGTTTCATGCTGTCATAGGTGGGGCTTTTGCAGAAGTGCTTAGATCTCTAGTGTGATGTTGGGATTAAGGGCGTGCGATGACATTAGTCCACTGACTGGTTTGACATAGTGCTAGGTGTGAGTGGACAGAATATAAAGGGCAGAAAGAGAGCTGTCGCTGTCGCTTGCTGCCTTCCTACCTTCTTTTTTTTTCTTCTGGAACCGGGGATTGAACTCAGGCCCTTGCACTTGCCAGGGAAGCGCTTATTCTACTGAGCCATCACCCTGGCCCCCTCTTCCTACCTTCTGCCCGCTATCAATCATTCCTTGCCATTCCACCCTGCCTTGGAGCCAGGCAATTATGACTGAAACCTCCCAAGCTGCGAGTTGGAAATGCACACTGAAGGATATTGTAATAAATGGGTAAAACTACCATTTAGACATTTTGAAACTTCCTTTTAGGAAAAAAGGTCAGAGAAGGTTAACAAGAGACTTAAAATACATTCCTGACAAAGCTCAGGAACATTTGAAGCTTTAAAGATCAGTAATAAATCCGTTGCCATCGATGACACAACAGCCTGCCAGAGCTCACCGAGGCGTGTAGCCTCCCCTGCCCAAGTCTTACTTGCCGCTAGGCTAAGTGGAAGGCATCTCTTTCAGGTGTGCACCTTAAAATTACTCCACAGTATTCACATTCCTCTCCTTCTGATTTGGCAACTCAAGGCATGTGCTCCGGATGACACAGCTGAAGACCGGGACTCTCTTGACAGTGGTGCTTGAGCACAATGCCAGACCCACAGTCCTTTTCCAATTTTTGACACAAGGTATTATTAAGTCACTAAGTTGCCAAGGCTGAACTTGAACTGTGATCTTCCTGCCTCACCCTCGTAAAAGTGCTGGGATCGCAGGTGTCACTATGTCCAGCGAGATTTAAGCTTTCATAATAACCTATACCATGGTAACGTTTGTTAATTGTGGCATGACCTCAGTAAAAAGGGGTTAGAAAAAGTACCTAGCATCTTAAGAAAGTTTCAGGATTCTAACACAATCTTCATCAGTATCACACAGTGTAGCACTCAGCACGTGCTAAGCATGACACTTAGCACAGACATTTCTGAACTATGAATATTGAGGGTGTCCTTCACGCATCATAGGCATTACAGTACTGCTAGATCTCTGTCAAAATCATTATTTTTTTTTAACTTCAACCAAATTCAAGTGTTTAAATAAAAAATTTAACCAATATAGTCCATTCCACTCTTACTTTACACCCAGGATGGTGGAGGAAAAACACATACACTATTTAGAAAAGTAGGAAGCCCATATTATTCTTATCTGCATAGCCCAAGACTTTCCAAATAGTTTTTCTATTGGATGATAATACATGTTTATACTGGGGAAGAAAATCCTATACTGCCTTGCAGGTCAGCAATTTAGAAAACATAACGCCAAGCAAGGCAAACACTACTACACATACCTCCCACGGGCACTAGCACTACCCGGCAGCAGAAAGCCTACGGGCACTGCTGTGAGACAGCCAGCAGGCCCCGGGACAGAAGTGCTGGCCCACGACGTCTGCACAGACTTCCCGTGTGGACAGCAGCGACCCTGTTTACTTCAGTTTGGGTCTATGGCTGGTCTTCCACTCCACTCAGCAATTTTCAAGGGCAAGGAGGGCACCTGTCATCTTTTCCCCAGTGATCACAAAGAAGCCATTTGCCCTGACATTTGGGAGGAGCTTTGTAAATGTTCATGAACAGATGGAAAAACCGTAAGGACAAACATAGTGAAAAGCATATTTACTTGAGTTCCATAATCCAAGCTTACTTTAAATCCACTTTAGCAATAAGAACACAGTGTACATCAGGAAGGAGACTAAAGATTTTTACAACAGGGCAATCACAGAAAGTCTTGTCACCCCGCAGCACTCCAGGCATGCACACCGCAGAAACCGAGCCCTCCCGGGGGTACGGGCTTTCAAGACGACGCCCCAAGGGGAAGGCCACGACTGGACCTCAGGGTTCCTCCTTCTCATCACGCACCACAGAATCTTTTCCTACAAAAAGCACGTAGTCACAGTGGACCGACAATTCTTTCCAAACATTCCAATTATACCATGAGGCAAGCAATTTGCTGTGCACTGTCTGAGACACTCATCCCTTAGTATATTGCTTCTCCGACAAGATATTTACCACTTATATTTTAGTCAGGATATTTTTGCGTCACCAATTCCTCTAGTAATTTCCCAGACTGTAAATTGCAGATGTAAACATTTGAAAGTAGGAAAATTTTACCTCAAATTTTGACACTTTTGCTTTGATAATTCAAAATGGATGTGTCATGTAAAAACAAACGAAGCACAAAACATCTCAGATTCTTACGCTGATAAGAAAACACCGAAGATTATCAGGGCTTTACGCTGATGGCGACATTACTGAGGCTGAATGCTAAGACTGGAGCACAGCTGTGTTACTAGTTCACAGAAATTCCACAGAAAAGCAAGGGAAAATCTTGGGAGTTTGTGTGTAGATTCAAGAGTTTTCCAGTAAGGAAACCATTCCAACATTCTGGTAAGTTTAGGAGATTAGGGATCACTGTACCACTAGAATATATTTAGGATTAAAACTTCTAGCAGATCTATGCAAATACCAAAGGCACAATCAATCTGGAGTTTTCATTTTACTGTTTTTTTCACATCTGAGATTTTAAAGGCTCAAGGGCATTTTTAACATGAGAATTTAACCCAGTTTAAAATGGAAACACAACAAAAAAACACAGCTTTCTAGAAATCTATCCTCATGGACTGCAGTATTCTAACTTAAGAGATCTGTATGAAAACCCAGCATGTTTACTTCTGATAAAGTAAACCCCTAGGAGAAGTCCTGACAAATCTATCAGCAACTCTTCAAAATTTCTGATTGCCTTTCTTCAACCACGTCATTGCTAAATAGCAAAAGAATAATTATATTCCAGGTAGATTTCATCTGGAATATGGTACTCTGAAAATTCATTAACATTTTTAATATTTTAAAGACACGACCATGCATTAAGCTGAAGGTAGAGAGTGACTATCATTCCAGAGCCAGCTCTTTGAGACTACAGATGCAGTTACGTTAGGAGTACATTCACTCCGGTCTCCTACGATACTCTAGTGATAGCCGATCAACCTTAGAAAAATGGCTACTGCTACACAGCTCCTAAGAGTCACATACAATAAGCAGATGAGAACTAGGCCTGGGGGAGAGGCTAAACAGACCAGCCACAAACAGGGTGAGTGTCTCTAAGTGATTGAACTAATGGGAAAGGAGAAGGCAGATGGAGCCAAACTATTCTACCTAGCAAGGACTGGGTCTGTGTAGTTTTCTATGTACAGAGACAAGCAGCGCTAGGCACTTAAAAGCTTTTTTGATGAAAATCTAGGGGGAAGAGCTTGACCTACAATTTTTTAGCATTACTACTATCAATAACATACTTTTCATGAGCAAACATGCAGTGACACACATTACAGAGCAAAAGCGCCTAAGACTGTTCTGAAAATGAAATGATACAAGATTGTCCCGAGTATATTTGGATTATAAAATCTTCTATTTTTACATTATCATATTTAATAGTAATGGTAAATATTTCATTGAAAAAATACTAAAAAATTATTGGCAATGATACAAAGCCCTAGCTAGTACAGATATTACTGTACTAGTACTCATCTGATAAGGGAATTATCTCTATCCCAATGTTTTCTATATTTTTTATTATCTGAGTATCTTAAACCAATCTCCTTAAATTGCTATTCAAAGGTACTTTAGTTGTCCTGTCCCTATTACTCTATAATCAATAGTCCTTTTACAAATTATAATATCCTACATATATAAAATAAAAATCTAATGCTGTAGAAAGTCTCAAAAATGTAATGTTAGTATGCTGATTTTCTAAAGAACGTGGCTTCGCGGGATAACTCTGAATAGTTATTGCCCGGATGGATTTTAAAAAACTTAAATATAATATAGTCATGATCCTAACATATCTTTAAACAGAATATCACTAGGAACATTCTATCAGCACAAAATACTATATTTATGGTTGTGCGAATCTTTTAAGTCTTAAAGCTTCTTAACATAATCATGTATATTTATATACAAAACATACATAAATTTTACTTTATTTAAAACATATGAAAGAGGTAATTCCAAAATCACACTAAACATAATAAATATAGAACTTGCTTTGTTAAAAATCTACAGTATACATTCAAGTAAAGGCTAAACTTCCAATGCCAACTATATTTGGGACAAAAATTAAACATTTACAATAATCAGTTTCCTAAAAGTGCTATTTTTAATACCTATAAAGAGGAAACTCATTCTAGTGCTTCTGTTTCTATCCAGACATCTATACATTCCTTTATTCACAGAGCCAGATGCTTCTGTTACTAAAAATACACATCCAAAGCTTTTATACTCTTTTAAATAGATTTAGCATTTCAGCTCTTTGGGGAAGACAGGGAAGTCCAAACAAACGACTCAGAACATTCTTGAATTATCAGAGATGACTCACTTTATGACACACCCTGTTTCAACTCAGATGAAACAAATCTGATGAATATGTTAGTGAAAAAGAGTTCTCATCCACACATCAACTATAAGTCATCTTTCTCTACGTGACGATTTATGTAGGTCAAAGAGCATCCACTGAGCAGCCTGGCTGCGCCCCAGGCCTGGACACCACGCTCCACGTCTGACTGGTACATTCTCTTCCAACCTGATCGGGTTTCATTTCTTCAGGAGTTACAGTCAGCACACTGACTGAACTGTAGGGAAAAGAAAGGCAGAGCTTAATAATTACCCCCACCTTCTCTCACGTACTACACTTCAAAGTCTGACATTTACAAGTCTTGCTGTTCCCAGGCTTGTGTGAAGGGAAGTTCTGAAGCTACACTGACCAAGAATGTTAAAGAATTCCAAAGTGGTTTCACCGATCACTTCTCTCTGCCCACCACCTATTTTTCTACTGGTCTGCTTATTATCTGTATCCCTCTCGTCTACTCAGAAGCATGCTGCCCAGGTGAACCTTAAGGGAGACACATGCGTGGGTCTTCACAGCTACGTTCCACAGGTCTCCTTTCTATTTTCTATTCTCCTATGGGTTCCCTCTATACTTGTCCATCATTGCTGAGTGCTCTCTCTCACACCTGATACTCAAGACACTTAACAAGTGTCTACAGGATGTTAAGAAAACAGAAACTGAAGCCAGATAAAAGTTCAACCAGTCTCAGAAAAGAAACCGAGTCAAATGACTACTTTAAGATCTATGGAGCAGAAACAATGATTAAATTTTCACCTGAGTCTCTCTTGTAAGTTTTTTCACAAGACCTTTTCTAAACATACATTGTTTGAAACTTTTGTTAACTCACTTGACCTTATAATATGGGAAAGCTAGAAAATATTATGTAACTTTTAATTCTAAAATTGAAACCAGTACCTTGAAATTTTTATTTACATTTGTTTACCAATATGGCACTTAAAGAAGAAAGAAAGAACACTCAGACCTCAGCTCAGAATCCCTACACCTCTGAGGTGTCTCTGGTGACATCAATGATCAACCTAGTCCCTTAAGGGACTTAGTACACCAGTCACCCCAACTGGAACACAAAACAGCCTTTATATAAAATTCTGATCTAGAGTGAGGCAGAAATGAGGCTACAAATACTCCTTCAAATACTCCTACAAAGACTTCAGCTACAAATACTCCTTTATCTTGCTGCAATTTTATTATCAACTGAAGCCAAAGTGTTTCAGGTACAAGAGACCCAACTTTACAAAATAATCTAGAATTAACCAACCAAGCTGCACTGCTTTTAATTCTTTTCTGTTTGTTATATTTTCAGAGACTAGAATAGCTTAACAGAGACCGAGTTCCTTTAAACTCTGTGAATCTATTTCTATGCCACTGGTATGATTAGAAGAACCAGAAAAGCATTTTAATAACATTTGTGAGCCAGGCGTGGTGGTGCACGCCTACAATCCCAGCACTCAGGAGGCTGAGGCAGGAGGAAGGAGGATCACTGCCAATTGAAGGCCAGCCAGGGCTACAAAGGGAACTCAAGGCCAGCCTAAATTGCATAGTAAAACCCTGCTTCAAAGACAAATACAAGGGCGAGCAAGATAGCTCAGCAGTCGAAAGCCTGATGTTCGATCCTTAGCACCACATGCCACAGCCAGCCCTGCCATTAGGGTGGGCTGAACCGACCAAAAAACAACAACAACAACAACAACAAAAAACAAAAACACACACACATACACACATATTTATGTTTAGTTTTGCTATCACTGAACGTTTACAATAGGACCGTTTAAGTTATTACATATTTAACTCACACTTAGCTCATAATACCCTGTCATATAGGTACTAAATGTTGGACTTTTATCCTTATTATAAAATACAATGCCATCAAGGAATATTTATGTCAAATATTTCAAACTATAAATACTTATGTAAAAAAGTAAACATTTAAAACGTTTCCCTAACTGAATCTCCTGGCTTATATAACTGATTCCTAAAATCTTTTTTTCACATAAGAAAACAGCATGCTTTACTAAAATTATTTTCTTTTTCCCTCTTTTAACAATTTTAATACTGGCCCACTGCCTCTAAAACAATACCTAATGTACAAATACAGACAGCAGTGCACATGCCTGTAACACCAAGCACTCTGGGAAGCTGAGGCAGGAGGATAACAAGTTTGAGTTTCGACTGCAGAACTTAGAACTTAGTGACACAGCAAGACCCACTTTCAAAATAAAAAGGGAGGGGGGATGAACTGTAGGTCAGTGCAAAGGCCTTGGGTTTGATCCCCAGTACAGCAAACAAAACAAAGTAACCAAGACGAAAATGTTTTATGAAGTGAAATTCCAAATGTGAGTGTTGCACAACAGCAGAGTGGCGTTATGGAGGAAGAACACTGCTCCCATGTTAATCCTCGCTGGCCCGGGTGAGCACGCGGTGGCGCATCATGTTTTTTCCTCCACAGCTGCGCCTCTGTCACCTTTCTGCCTTACCATCCGTCTCTCACACCTCTCAGTCCTGCGCACTAACTACCCGGTCTCTGCTCACGTACCGCGTGCTTCCCAGCTCAGGGACCCAAGCTTACCTGGAGTCCTCTCACCCGGCTCTTTTTTGCTCCCTAATGTTTAGAGTCCTAATCGCCCAATCTTTTCAAAGTCTGTAGATTACAAACCTCATCCTCCCTTTAAAAGCTAAATACTGTTTTAAAATCCAGCTACTTAGCTTTTCTTGGCCCAAAGGCCAGCGGGCCTCTTCCACACGGAGCTCCACACCAGTTTCTCATGAGCACAGGCCAAATGCGCCGCAGCTGGCTTCCGCTTGCTGTCCACACACTTGCCCAAGCACCAGCAGCCTGAGGCACTGTGTCCTACTTGAGTTAAGATCACCATCGCACTTCCAACTTCACGCCTGCCGTTTTCCTGTTCTCCACCCCTCTAGCAATGCTGTTTGCTCTGCTTAGTTCAAAGCTCATCTTGGAACAGGATCAGAGATAGTATTGTTATTGTAGCTTAGAAAATGATTTAAAAATTTGAAAGAGGAAAATACCAAAATGCAAGTACTAATACCAACTTGTGGGCTTCCAGGGGGTAGGCAGCAACCTCATTTAAACCTTACTGTCCCCAAGGGCGACAGATCTTCATCACTCAAGATGAATAGGCCCTTCTCAGTTCTTTGCCTTCAAGGCCCATAAAACAGGCATGCCAGAAAAACCTGCATCTATGTCTTACAAAAACTGCACAGAACATCTTTACATTTAACACAAAGTACTTAAAACAGTGATGCCAACAAATAAGAGTATATTTTAAACGTGAAACCAAAAGACACACAAGACACACAATCTGGCTCAGAACAGGGACCATGTCTACCTTGCCACACTGCTGTACACCCAGCACCTAGCATGAGGTCCTCCTGGACACCTAGTAAGTATCACAGAATGAATACATCAGTCTACTAAATCCCTCTCCAAACGCTAAACCGTTGCAAATACCACTGATACATCTTTTCCTTAGCAGCATCGACGTTAGGAATTTGTAGAAATATGTATAAAGACCAAATATGAACAAATACCTATGTTCCGATACACAGGAACGTGTCTGGCAAGAGTCTAGAGTTGGTGAAGCAGGCAGAGATTTTGTCATTTTAGATGTGCAAACTGGAGACCCATTAGACGTGCTGGGGGGCTTCTTCTGCCTTTGCTTTGAGTGCACTGGAAGATTGTCTTGATCAGAACCTGTTTAAAAAAAAAAAAGGAGGGGAGGAGGCAGTATATATGGCAAAGTAATAAATACAGTGAAAACAAGGATGACTTATTTGAATTCTGTGTGAAGTATGACAGAATAAATTAACCTGCTATCTCTGCTACATGTTCTACAAGCCTTAATGAGGATTTACTTTTAAAAATTTTATCTCCAGATTGATAATTTGCAAAAACTTGACATTTTCACAACAAAAGTTACTCTTGCTATGTTGGTATTCTTGTCACCCCTATTCTGACTCCAGTAAATTACATATTAAAGCTTATTGATCTTTAGGTCCAATAAGAGAACTCTACTTGGTGGTTATATATATATATATATATATATATATATATATATATATATATATATCACACACACACACACATGCACACAATATATTTCACCCAGAGGCAGGATCAGATTAAAGAGTATGAAGTACTCACTTCCTGAGAAGGCACTGAAAAGTTTCACATTTTCTGAGTTCGGGTGGTCAAAGGTAGTCATATTTAAAAACTGCTGCTTTAACCAACTGGCTCGCTCTTCTTCAAATGCCTTTCTCTACCATCACAAACAAATGAAAAAAACAATGATCAACACCTCAACATCCCACAGAGTCACAACTTCCTGTGAATTCCTTAGCTGGCTGTGTCTGCTGTTTGGCTACCTATATAAAACGATTTATGTCAACTAATTAAAATCTTCAAAACCTCTACTTATGCAAAACTATGTTAGAAAAAGAATTTTACAAATGTACCCAATAAACAAATAACTATTTTCACATTAATTTTTAATTCAAATGCAAAAAGCAACAGAATATTAACATTTGAACCTAAAAGAACACAGCAAAACACACTGCAAAATCATCACCAAAAATAAAAACAAAAGGACTGCTGACCTCATCAAACATATCACTTGGCAACTAGTCATCTCCCAGTACTAGGAGCTGCCAACACCACACCACAGGGACACAGGCAGACTATGTCCTAGCACCCCTTTTCAACAGCTGATGAACCCTAAACTCAACTCCCTCTCACCCTGATGTCTCTCACGCATCCATCCTAGTCCCCACTCTCCCCAAGGACTCCCGTCTGGATGAAGAATTCTCAGGGAAAGGCACTGGGGGACTGGGAGTAACACAAACTGGCCAGAGTATCTTCTGGAACAGGGCAGTGGGGCTCAGAAACAGGGCTGACCTCTCTCCTTCTCTGGATAGATATTCTGGCATAAATGTTTAGCCCCCTGAGGGAAATAGCAGCTGAAACCGACTTTCACAACCGTGGAGGAAAACCATGTCAGCTACTAAATAACCAATATTGAGAACTACAATTATAAGTATTAATACAAAATCATGAATCATTAGCCATCTGAAAAAACTGATAATGTAAGAGAAAAAAAAAAACAAGGTCAAGATAAATAAACTAGTCAAGCATAACAGATAATTCCAAAGGTAAAATATCTTCTAAAAAGATTTTAAAAAAAAGTTTTAACATATTAGGTTAATGAGTGTAAAATAAAAATGCTAAACTTAGAACTTTATAAAAAAATAAATCCTTAAGGACCAAGTAACAAAACTGACTCCCAGTCTGACGATATACAAGATTAAAAAAAAAAATACTAAAAATGTTGGACACAAAGTAAACCTATAGCAATACTCCAAAGGTCAAGTATTTAAAGGCATTCCAGAACATGAAGAAACCAAAAAAAAAAAAAAAAAAAAAAAAAAGAGAGAGAGAGAGAAATAAAAATGTACAGACTATGTTACAATGTGGCTTCTCAGCAAAAACCAAACACTAGAAGATATGAAGTAATTCAATGTCTTAAGAGAAAAGGTGAAAGCCAAATTCTACAGCTATGTAAACCAATCAAATAAGAAAGCATTTTTGGATATTCCAGGATTCAGCATATATATTATTTATGTACTATTTTTGAAAAAGTTACTTAAGAAGGTACATAATGTGGGAAACTGAAAGTAATCTTCCAAAGAGGAAAAGCTGAGATGGAAGACACACAGTAACACTGAAGTGGCATCTGGGCTTACGAACTCAATTCTCTCCCAATCCTAACTGAAAACCAAACTGGATGAGAACTGACTCAAATTTCCCCGTAAGGACAGCATTGAGCCTGACCAGTGAAGCGGATTTGGGTCTCATTCAATTTGGTTGGGATCAGAATTGTGGAGAGAATCAAGTGCACGGACCAGGGCACCACCGTAAATCTGACTCAGGATATCACAACGAAAGCTACGGAGAAAGTCAAAGAATTCACTAGGTGACGATAATCTCTTCTGGGTGGCAGAGTTTTAATAACAGTATATTTTCCATCTCCAAACAATTATTTTTGAATAAAAGCATTTATATAATCATAGTGCAGTCATAATTGTTTTCTGGTTTTCAAGTTTTAAGTCTCACCGTTAGCATAAGTACTTAAACCTGGATTGTAAAAGAGGATTGGATACAAATGCAGTAACATTGAAAATGAGAATAAGACAAAACTAATAAAGAAGAAAGAGGTACAACAAGGATTTATCTCTCACTGCAGAGATTTGTTTGTTTGCTTTTGATTCAGGGTCTCACTAAGCAGCTGGACTTGTAGTGATCCTCTTGTCTCAGCCTCTCTCCTGCTGGGATTACAGGTGTGCACTACCACTCCTGGCTTTGGGGCTTGCATGGTATGCTGCACCAGGGATCTGCACCAGGGATCAAACTCAAGTCCTTGAGCTTGCATGGCAGGTGCTTAGATCACCTAGCTATCTCCCCAGCCAGTTACTGTAGGGATTAACTGACACCATCTGAAGTTGAACAAACTTAAACAGAAGCACTGAGCAGGTTTTAAGTAAAAACAAACAAAAGAGAGAACCCAGGAGAACATAAATTTAAAATGTTATACAGAAACAGATGTGGAAGAATGCAGGACAGGAAGGACTGTAGGGAACAGAACGTCTTATATTTCACAGCAGACAATGGACCAAAAAAGATAAAACGTTAGAGTACTTCCCAAAAGAAGCGCCAACACAAGCATCCAATGGTGGTTCCCTCTGAGAAACAAAACCAGGTATATAAAGAAGATGGGTGGTTTTCATTTTGTAGTTTTTTCTATGGGTTGAGTTATTAAAAAAATCAAAAATGTGTTCAGTCATTACTTCTACAACTTTTGAAATGGAAACGTGACATGTAGGCTATGTATTGCTAAGCATTCGTGTATTTGTGTTATGTGTACATGTACATACTGAAATGAATAAATCCAAACTGTTACTTTTAAAGCACATATTTCTGAATGAGGGATATAAATAGCAGAACGTTATTTACTGTATTTATATTTTTAAAAAACATACATGTTCTTATACCATCTTCTACATCAATACTAGTGACAGTGAATAAATAACAGGAGTCCAACAGAGACCTGTGATGTTATGCTAAATACGTAACACAGAATGCCAATCAGAATTTTTTTTTAAATTGCAGTTCCCAAATGGGTAGGAGGGCAGGGAGAAGATACCATTGTGTAACAGCTCATTAAGATTTCAACTTAAGGTTATTTATGAGCTAATCAGCAAGTACTCAGGAGAAAAGCTGGAAAGCAAAGAAACCACTACAATCAGTGCTAGAACTCCAGCGAGGCCTGCCAAGCCCAAGCCCAAGCCCCGGGACTTGCAGCCGCACCGCTGCGCATAGTACCTCCAGCCCTAGGCGGATCGCCGCTTCTGTGAAGCTCCGTCTCTCTCTCTCAAAATTCTTCTTTTGCTCTTTAAAAAGGGACCACTCTTCCTTAAGGCGTTCCTTTTCTTCCAGCAAGTAACAGTCTCGTAACAGTGAAGTGGTATCGTCATCACATGCAGTAGCAAGCTGCTGCTATTAATTTTAAAATATAGTAAGTTCCGGGTGATGCTTCTGACACTTCCCCACATTAAAATCAAAGCAAAAAGAGGGGATGGGGAGATGGCTCAGTGGAATAAGCGCTTCCCTGGCAAGCGCAAAGACCTGAGTTCAATCCCTGGCTCTGCCAAAAAAAAAAAAAAAAATCAAAGCAAGAGAAGGCTGGTCAAACGATGTAGCAGGGACAGCAATGACGAGGAACAACCAAGTCAAATGAGGAGCCTTTTCTCAAAGGCTATGACTCCATTCAGAAGCATGAGCTATTTAAGAAATAGTGTGCAATTTATTTGCTAGCAGAAAATGTAGTTTAGGGGCCTGGGATATAGCTCAGTGGAATAAGCAGCTGCCTGGCAAGCACAAAGTCCTGAGTTTAATCCCTGGTAGCACACACACCAAAAAAAAAAAAAAAAGAAAAGAAAAGAAAAGAAAAAAGAAAGAAAGAAATGAGAGAAAAAGATAAAAGAAAAAAAAATCATTTGTCATGTTTCACATCTTAGGGCTGGCCAGATAGCTCAGCAGATTAAAATGCCTGTTTAGGCAGACACAGGGATGGGATTTAATCCCTGCATGCCATGCTGGCCCCACCCTCGAGGCCAGTGTGAGACTGGGTGTGGTGGCGCAAGCCTATAATCCCAGCACTTGGGAGGTTGAAAACAGGAGAATCTCTCTAAGTCTGACCTGTGTAGTGATACCCTGTAGACCTTGTACTAAATACATTAAAAAAAAAAAAAAAAATGTAGTTTTGGAAAACATCAAATACAGAGACCTTATGATAGTAAAAAATAAAAATCTATTAAGATTTAGAAAAATTCTGGCCTTTCAGAGGGCAAAAGAACATTAAAAGGGAATTCACATTTACCTGTAAAAGTTGCTGCTGCGTTTTAATCATTTCTTTACATTGCTGAATTTCCAACTCCAGCTTCTCAGTTTCCTGCTCATGGTCTTGTCGTGATATCACGTCTTCATCGTTAAAACCTTCCAAGTTCACCTTTGAAACTAAGCCAAACCGCTGTGCTGACATTTTCCAGCCACCCTTACACTGGAATACACTTACAAATAAGGCTCTGAGAATGTTCATAGAATCTCACAGGTTTTCTAAGAGGTAGTTCTTTCCATAAACTATGATAAAATATCATTTTTTAACAGAAAAAAACTTTTAAAAGCAAAGCAACTATAAATTTATATGGTTTTGGGAATAAATGATGTCATTAAACACAGAGCTCTGCTGCCAACGCTCAATTCACGTCTTCAAGACAATGTCTGGAATTGGACCATGTTCACAGAACAGTGTTACAAAAAGTCATTAATTATGCTCTTGCTGATACTGCTTCAGAGGCCAACGTGGGACTACAGACCTTGCTCTCTCACACTGCATGTAACAAACACCACATCCAGACATGCTTGCTGCTTACTAACAAGGCCCTACAATGGGCAAAATCGCATGTAAATTAACACTGACATTTAAAGGACAGAATGCTTGATGCCTAGCAGTGAGGGGCTGGGGAGATAGGTCAGCAAGCTAAACGGCTTCTGGCAAGTGCAAGGACTCAAGTTCAATCCCTGGTACTACATGCCGTGCTGGCCCTGAAACCAGATGTGGCAGCACATGCCTACAACCCCAGTGCTGGGGAGGCTGAGACAGGAGGATCACTGCTAGGCTGCAATGCCTAGTGAGACCCTGTATCTAAAACAAAAATGAAAAAAACCTAGCAATGAGTTCATTATTTTAACAACATAAAATAAACTTTCTTTAAATTAACTTCATTTACTAAGCAGAAATCTTAATTTTCCTGATTTAAAAACATCAAATTTTACTTAACAAATATAGAATACAAAATATTAAGGATATACCTATCAGTACAGATGAAGGTATAGGGGAATAATGTCTAATAAAATGTTAAATGAAAAAAAATCACACTGAATAAAATAAGTATACTAAATAATGTTAGTTTTCTATGATTAAATAAACATTTCACAAATACCAATAGAAAAAAGCTAAAAACCACAAGCACCAAACTATTAAATGCTATATACAGGGAATGGGTAAATGAATTTTCTACTTTACATCCTTTATTGGTATTTGGCAATATTATTATTATTTTGTCTTTTTTTTTTTTGGTGGAACTGGGGCTTGAACTCAGCCCCTTGCGCTTGCCAGGGAAGCGCTTATTCCACTGAGCCATCTCCCCAGCCCCTTGGCAATATTACTACAAAAATAATTTTTAAATTATTTGGAACTTAGCAATATGCAAATATGTGGAAATGGGGAAAGATTCACCTTTTTACAACATGATAAATGTTTGGAGCTCTAGATTTAGTAAAAGATCACAGTTCTCTATAATTATATGTTGCATTCATAGCAGATGGATATTACGATATCCTTTTATCATTGAAATAATTTTTATAACAACAAAGTATATTTTTTACATTCAAATTTCAATCTCATGATAAAAACTAAGGGAAAGCTTGCTCTCAACCCATTAACTGAGCTACAAATTTCAGGTCTGAGCCCACAGCATGACTTTCCAAATGAGTGAAAATCCAACAGGTTACTGCTACAACTCACTTCACAGGCAGTGCAGTGGTAGTTACCTTGGTTGTCAAGCTTTTCTACATGACTTTTCAAAATTCTCCACTGTTTCCTGATGCTATTTGTAAGCTGCTCTCTCACAGTTTCACAGGAAAGGTCCCACATGCTCTCTCTGCTCAGCTCTCCGCCATCCTCTTCAACATCAGAGATAACCTGTGAATGAAGAAAAGTAGGAACCATTATCTTAAAGTGGCTTTCCACCCAGATGGTAGTTAGAAGATTACCGGTCTTACCAGAATCATTTCTGTGCTGTATCTTACTACTACACAACCCAGTATTGCATTTATGTATCTTGAGAGAAAGCAGTGAATATTAAGGACAAAACCTTCCCAATTCAAACCTCTTCAAACCTCAATGAGAATCCAAGTAGCGACAAAGTCATGGAACTATCTGCTCATCATCTAACACTGGATAGGAACTGAGATGGTCTATCCACATGTCCCCCAAGGCCATATGTGCCTATGGGTGGAGCTTTGGGGAGACAAGTGGACCATGGGCCTGTATGCCTGATGCTGCAGAAGGAGGTGGGGCTGGGTCAAGGGAAGCAGATCACTAGGGGCGTGAGCCAGTGGAAAGCTGCGTTCTCCCTCATGGCTCCTTTCTTTTTTCTGCTTCCCAGCTACCGGGCTGTGATCAGTTCTCCTCCACCAGACCCTCCCACCATGCTTGCTGAGAGCCAGCCAAATACGAACAAAAACCATGAACCAAAATAAACTTTTCCATTACACTGTGGGTGTCAGGTATCACATTCCAGCAACAAGAAAGTGTTTCAGAAAAAGATTTAGAAGATGAGGGAGCTGGGGAGATGGCTCAGTGGAATAAGCGCTTCCCAGGTAAGCTCAAGGGACTGAGTTCAATCCCCAGTTCCAAAAAAAAAAAAAAAAAAGATGATTATGTGGTATGCAGCCAAAGGCTGAACTGAGATTTGGAGTTAGATAAAATTGCTGATCCTTGGCTCTTTACAAATAAACCTTTGAAATGATCTCCAAAGTAAAAGTAATTACTAATTCTACCTTCCTCACATAATTTTTAGACAGCCAGGATAGTATTTCTTTCTATTGGACAAAGACACAAAATCACAAGAAGATGCAGCAAATTTTAATGACACATTATCATACAGAATCAAAAGTAGCATAAGGAATATGGGAAAACAATCCAAAAGCACACCCTAAGTCATAACAACATGTACATAAATAAAACAATCCTAACTTATCTGAATATCCAGAAAGGTAGATAAACTATACTAATTTGAACAAAAAAGTTCTTGCTGGGGAAAAACAGGAGAAAGAAGATGCAGAGAAGGGCTGATTTTGACTATAACTTGCCATATGAGATCAGGCTGCACCCACAGGCACAAACAGCATGAATGAGGGTGAAACTGAGTGAAGCCTGCATCAGCAGCCCCCAGGCAAAGCAGGGGAGGAAGTGTTCAGCTCGTGGCTGCACCTCTGGTTCTCACTGATCCAACTTCAGGAGACACCTGCCAGTAACTCTTCTGAGGAACATCTTTCTGACACCTTAAACCCTACCAGAATACAGGCTGCACATCCCTTACCTGAAAAGCTTGGGGCCTGAAGTATTTTGGAGTTTGCAATACTTGCATCTGAGATAGCTACCTTAGGGATGGGACACAGTCTAAACATAAAACTCATTTATGTTTCATATACACCATACAAATACAATGTCAAGGGAACTTTGCTTTTTTGAAACAAGGTCTCGCTATGTAGTTTAGGCTGGACTTGAACATACTATGTAGCAAAGGCTGGCCTGGAACTTCTGATGATCCTTCTGCCTTAGCCTTACGAGTGCTGGGATTACAGGTGTGCACCACCATGCCTGGTGGGCATGAAGGTAATTTTATGTATTTTGAGTCTGCGTTTTGACTATAACTTGCCATGTGAGATCAGATGCATAATTTTCTACTTGTAGCATCATGTTGATGCTCAAAACATTTCAAATTTTTATAGCATTTTAGATCTTAGATATTCAGCTTAGGAAGGCTCAACTTGTGTAACAAATTTTTTTAAATTAACAATATAATAGATACTGTGAAGGGGAAAGAAACTGCTCAAAAGGAAATACATACTGGAATGGGGGAAAGGAGAATAGGAAGGGAAAAATATGTATATATACACACCAAATAGCTAAGATAATTGTACTATTAATTTCTATTAATTAATTGAAAGGAACAGTGCTTATACTGTTTGATCAATTTTGCATGCCTGTATCTTATAATCTGCCCAACTATTCTGAAAGTAGCAATATGCCATATAAAAATCACTAATTCTCATCATCTTGCTTTGAAATTCTGTACCACTTTTGTTTTCCTCTCTTTAAAATGATAAAAATCACAACCACGTTTTCCAGATTGAATAAAAACCTATCACTGTAAGATGAAAATTTTTTAAAATATCATGGAATTTAAA